CAGGAGAAATACTCAAAAATCACCAAGTCTAAACTGAGTCATCGTGTGACAGTTTATGTCAGGCTTGCCTGATGAATTGGGGAGTATTGAAACGGGTTCGAGGCTTGAAGTTTGATGAACAGCCCAAATATGAGCAGCTACGTGGACTTATGGCTTCTGTTCGGGTAAGACTCGATCAGATGATGATGCAATTGTTAGTATTCGTCGTGAGGAATCATATGTGGTGAATGGCTTATGGCAATTATGTTATATATATAAATTACAAGTCGCATTGGACGTCATTTGAATACAATAATGAACGAGTCACAATCGTGTTTCAGGTTTGGGTGATTGCTTCCGTTTTTGAAATGTATTTTTGATTCTCGATTCATCGTAGGGAGTTTATTGTTGTTGTTTTCAGTTACGGTCTAATTACCCTTCGGATGAGGAGCATCTGGATTGTAAAATAATGAAGAGTTTGCTGTTCCAACGAGAGCAGCAGTTTGAGCGTGAGAAACGCTCAGGCCCTCTGACTCCTCCAGGCTATTACCATTGAACTAAACAACTACGATGACGACTATTGATGATTCACTATAATCAATTCTCATAGGCTGATCTAGTAGTTAGTGACTTGATTGCCATCGTCATTCTCAATGGTAGTCCATCATGAGGCGTTGTTGTTATCATTGTTCTAGTCTAGCTTCGTTGCTCGTACACGATGCTATGCTCTCGCTGCTTGCACTGTGGCTTCTGTTGCCGGTATTCACTGTAGGATGGGATAATACGGCGTACTATTTACAATCACCACTATTGCCATCCTGCTGACTAAACTTTTTCACTATAAGTAACATGCCGAGTTTGGTAAAATGTGGTGTTATTAAAGGGTGCAGAACTTACGGAGATATCGTTGGAAGATATTCATATGGTCCACTATGCGTGTCAATTACAATATGTTAATTCTGAAGAGACTAATCGAAATTCGTGTTTGTTTTTGTAGACTTTTACCTTGCGTATGTAGTGGTAAAATGCTTGAGCTTAACGGAGGAGCTCTTACTGTACATACTTTTGTTTATACACACTGCTCTCATTCTTATACTTGGGATTACTTCTTTTTCTTCTCTTGTATAGCGTATTGATTTTCCAAGCTTAACAACTGGGAAGTATGCTCCAGTGCAGCCGATAACATAGTAGGATATACCTTGCAATGGCATAGTTGCCCCACTCATAGGGACAAGTCATAGTAAGATATACCGTACAATGGCATAGTGGCCCCACTCTTAGGGACTAGTCATAGTAAGATACACCTTGCAATGGTATAGTTGCCCCATTCCTAGGGGCTAGTCATAGTAAGATATACCTTGCAATGGCATAATTGCCCCATTCATAGGGATCGATCTTAGTAAGGCATATCTTGCAACGGCATAGGTGCCCCACTCATAGGGATTGATCTCAATAACAACGGACTAACCCAATGTTTACTTCTACCCATTCGTTCCGATTATACCAAACCAAAAAACGCCACTCCATAGTAGCACGCATGCACAATAAAGGCTTGCCACACAACTTGAGAGTTGATACGCATCATAGAGGGGTACTCTACGATGCCGCTCCGCTGTGCTCGAGATGGCCAAACGATTCCAGCATGAAATCTATGGGCGGCCTCACGTGTTGGATCCTACCTCTACGAATTGGCATGATAATACTTTCGTGACGACAAGAAGCGTTGACCCGGCTCTATCTCTCGTAGATGGGAAAGTTATGACTACACAACACAATGTGGGCAGAGATGGAATCAGTATCCGAAGGAAAATACAACATCCGAGGAGCATCTCAATGGATCCCTGGTATCGTTATTTGCTATAGAAGAGCACACAATAGAGAAGAGAAGCTGATTCCACGAAGCTTAAGTTTAAAAACATATGAACAGTGTAATAGAACCACTACAACCGCCAGCGAGCATGTCCGACTCGGGCCGGGGCTCTCAATGACGATTTACGACAGGTTGTAGACGTGACGTCTAGGACACCTTATAAAAGTTTGTAGCAAAGCGACTCGACTACTGACTTACAAGCATGGCAACAACAAGAACTGGACATACATAGACTAATGCTGTTAAACACCGAGTAGAGTAGACTCCTCTCTGTTAATGAAGACGTAACTTCTTAAGATTCGCCGAAGTCCTCAATGGCACCAATGGAACCAATGACGATCATAGGAATACACCAAATCAACACAATACAGATTACAATCGTTTCTATAACGTGCTTCCTGACATACTTCTTTACAGAACCTAAACGATGACACTAGCGTGATTGTAAGTAATAGAAATATATGAGACTTACCAAGAACGAATTGTTGCACCCTAACGTAGAATATACAGGGCATCATTGCAACCATGATGACCATAGTGAACGAGCCTAATACATTAATCAGACTCTGAATGTTAGGAACAACTTCGGCAATCAACAGGGTGAATGCAATACAGCAGAGTCGAGCAATGAACCTCTTGATGGTAGCCTTCCACGTAGTATCTTCAACCTTTATATGACACCAATACTCAAGG